CGCGGCGGGGGGGGTGACGCACCAGGGCGGGGGCGTTGGCCGCATCTTCGGCCCCGCCCAAGAAGATCGTGGCTCCCACCGTGTCCCAGATCAACGCCGAGTTTGTCACGCAGGTTGGAGTTGGGTTAGGGGGGAGCGTCGGGGACCGGGGCTGGGGCAGGGCCATAGGGCACGGGGCCCGCGGCGGTGTCTCAGCGGGGTGTCCCTCTCTCCCTTGCAGCTGGCGCACCGGTACTGGGCCCCGCACGTGCAGAAGAGACTGTGCTTCGATGCCAAGGTGAGTACCGCGCATGGCACCAGGGCAGCACCGCGTTGCCCAGCAGTATGGTTGTAACCTGCTGCTCTGGGAGCCAGCCTGGCACCTTGTCCTGCGCTTGGTTGTGTTCCTGTCTCTTCCTTTTCTCCCCGCTCAAGGATAAAGGCGTGTGGCCGATTGTGCGAGCCCCATGTCACGCGGTGTCAGCGTTGAAAGCTAACCGCAGCTTTTGGTGTTTGTAGAAACAAGCGTAAAGCACGTGTCGGAGGGAGCCCACAGGCTGGACCCGCTCCATGGAGCTCTAGGATCTGATCCTGGCCCCGGCACCGCGTGTGGCACCTGCACCAGGCTGGCCCTGCTGTGGTCTTGCTCTAGGGCTGCGGAACCCCCATGCAGCCCAGAGCCAGCGTGGAGGGCTGGACCGGTGTGGGCCCCACGTGTGTGCTGTGCCACTCCCATGTGCCTTGTGCCCACGGGCCAAGACGTGCTGTGGGGTGGGCCCTGATGCACACATTGCATGCTGCCCACGAGGGAGTGGGGCTCGGGGCAGGGGCAGGTGCTGCCCAGCTGGGGTGGGGTGCAGGATGGAGCTGGCGGCTTGTCTAGGGGGACGGGGGCAGCTCCCCCCACTGTGTGCACCCCTGGGGAGGCATGGGTGGCATGTGCTCCCCTTTCCCCCCAGATCTGTGCATGGGGCAAGGGCGGGCTGTGTGCTAGGGGCTGGGGCTGTGTCAGGGTCTTCCCAGCAGCTGCACTTGGCTGGGGCAGGTGTCAGTGGTGCTGGGAAGGGGGGCCATGGCAAATTTTGGGGTGGTTTAGGCCCCGCCCCCCGCCACTATCACCTGCCCTGGTCTGAGCATATCTGCCAGGAAGAGGCTGGAGCAGCCCCAGCCCTGACAGTGCAGCAGCAGCTTGCCTTCACCCTGTGCATAGATCTGGTGGGGCACATGCCCTCCTGACTTCCCCTGTGGGAGCATGCAGTGGCAGGAGCTGCCTGCCCTCTGGACAAGCTGCTGCCTCTGTCCTGTGCCCCACCTTGACTGAGCAGCGCCTGTCCCTTCCCCAGTCCCACTTGTTTCCTCACCTCAGGGGGCCTCAATCTGCCCCCCACTTCCCCCTAACAGACTTACAAGCTGGACGCTGCTCTCCAAGCTGCTAGGTTGTATGTCAGCAATCGGATTCGTATCAACCGGTACGGCTAGTCGATAACCAGCCTTCTTTATCTGCCCAAAAATCTTTATCAGTGCATGCCTATTATGAGTGTTTAAATTCTTTGGGACTCTTGCTCTTCCTCTCAGGGCTGAGATATTCCCGACAAGAGCTCACCAAGTGATAGTAATAACCCTAGAGCATATAGCTAATAACATTTTTGATTTTGAAAACCAGAGTTAAAAATGAATCAAACTATAAGTGTTAGTGTTTAATCGAGATAATTTTTTGAAATAGGTTATTGAAGATGTATATGTGAAAGAAATCGTTAAGTCAAAGTAAGTACAACATTTCTAATGTTTGTTTATGGATTCTGTTGTAGATACTTACGTATACTATAGACATTTATATTAACATGAAGGCCACTTAATTTTATTGAGCTAAATATGTAGGAAAGTCAAAAAGTTTGGTAAACCCTTATAGTCAGTGGTAGGTCATCTCCGTGATTTAAATATGAGTTTTCTTTATGCTGTATTATTAGATGTATGACATAACAAAGGTCTGATACAGTGAATAAATCAAGTTTTGCATTCCTGTTCTTTGTCATGGTCTGAGCCAGTCTTTGTACTGATTGCTAATTTTGGGGGGGTAGGGATTCCTCTCTGCTTCCCAGTCTATGGGTGTAGAGTTCTTCTTCCCTTTACTTTCTACCTCTGTTCTATTTGAGCTGAGCAAAGGATCTACCACCTAGAGGGAATTCTTGGTATGTCTGCTGGTTCTCCTATCTTTTCACTCGTTTGTTTTATTTTCTGTGTTTCATTTTATTTTTTTTTTCCTTCTTAGATTTGCCATTAGAAAGATAATGCTGCTTGAGTTTAGGTAAGTTTTTGAAGAAATATAACATTTATTTTTTGTAATAATTAATTTTCTCTACTCAGTGTTTTGATTTATGTAGGTGTTAGTTGTTTAAGTACTTAATTTGAGATCAGCCTATTTGAGAAAAGCCTATGGAAATAAAGGTGAGAAACAAATGCAGGACAATAAATCACTTTTAGAGGTGTAGTATAACTAATTACTTCTACCCTAGTTAAGTCCATGATGAGGCACATAAGAAAATGTATTCCACAGAGTGTAATATAATATAAGATTAATTCCATAAACACAAATAGTGCTTTCCAGGAGGTCTTTTTTCATGCTGCTAAATTTCTGATGCAGATAAATTTACAGCACAAATGGAGTACCAAATATGCATGGAACAGTGATAAATTTGGTTCTAAAAGTTAGGATGCCTCCTTAGGCCTGGTTTCAAAATCCACTGAAGTCAGTGGAAGTCTTTGCATCAAAGTGTGAGGAAATTTGTAGCAATGCTGTAATTTTACGAACAGCAACATGACTTGCCAATTTTCATTGCCTGACAGGAATTGGAACTCTTGTGTTTAAAAATGATTTAAAAAAATGTCAGATTATAGTGGCATGCATATAAAAATGTGTGTTAAGTACCAATATTAATTGGTATTTAATCTTTGGTTATTATTTTTAAGTCCACCTTTTTGGGGAGGTAGATTGAGATTGAAAGGTCTCTTGGTGAAATGCACTTCTGCATCAACTATAAACTCCTTCTGCTGGAGAGAGACTGTGGGAAGAATTATGATATGCTAGGGGGACTGCTGATTAGAGAAATAGGATAATTTGAGGGGGAAAATATTCATTTCTAAAATTTTGGATTTTTCCTCTTTTTTGTTTGTTTAAAAAGATAAGTTGAATGAGACTTGTTCAAGTCAAAATTGCAATTTAATTTCCTGTTAACTTTATTTTCCCTTGGCATTCAGTCACATCACTGTAAAGCAAGGTTATCAAAACTCACCACAGTCCCCTGTGCTGGGTCTGGATCCTGACATTCTAGCGGCAGGGCAAATGGCATCAGAGAGCTGTGGGGGTTAGTGCCACCGTTGCTTGTCTCTTGTGTCAATACATGTCCTCAACAAGGACTTGTATTCTGGATTTTGCTGGTCGGTCCTGTCCCTGCTTGACCTTTCCCAGAATTCCCAGCCCCTCTAGGAACCATGCAGGCTGTATGTTTGACACCCTTGCTGTAAAGAAATGCTGCCTAGTTACACCATTTTAATTTTTCTAGTGAACCCCTTTAACTTAACATGAATAATTTATAGAATTTCTCAGGATATGCTGTCTACTTTCATAAGACCCATATCCTTCATCTTGCCCCCTACCAGAGCCTCAGGTTACTCCATCTTGACTCAGTTTACTGCTTCCCTATCTTTGAGGTCTCATCACAGCTACCACTTTTGTAGTTGAGGATAATTGGACCTCCAATTATTTGGATGCAGAGGGTAATTGGACCCCCAAATATTATTTGGATGCAGAGGTATATTAAAGTGTACAGTAGAGTCCCGGATGTCTGTTAGGCTTTTTTTTTTCTCCCTGTGGGCAGATCAGTCTACATAATCTGGGTCCAGTTCTGCAAGCTTGTATGTGCAACTTGCAAGGTATTATCTGTAAGGCAAAAGCTGTGCAGAGATCCTTTGAACTATCTCTTTTAATTGTTTTGTAACTTCATTTTTCTAAAGAAGCAAGATTTACTCAGAAGATTTTCTGTCTTATGTTTCTCTACTTCATAGTGTTTTGAGTTATGTAGGTGTTAGTTGTTTAAGTAGTTAATTTGAGTAGTTAATTTGAGATCAGCCTATTTGAGAAAAGCCTATGTAAAAGAGCAGAATAGCATGGAGGCCTGTAAAATTTCCTTGCATGCGAACTTTAGTGTGGAAGGGTTTACAGAGTTTAGCAAAAGTGCTAAAATAACTTCCCTGCACTGCTCCAGAAGGGTAGAGTAAGGGCAGGACTTACTCTTTGTCTGAATTGGAACCACTTGTTTTCCACAGAAAGGAAAAGCCTGCTGGTCACAAAAAGAAAAGTATCTCCCTGTTTAGGATGTTACAGGAAAATTAAGCTTTACCTTCCCTGCATAATTACCTTAAGTCTAGGCCTGTAAAGCAGTAGCTTGAATGGGGTCTTAAAAGTGGGGAGGATATGACTAGGTGTGTCTTTATTTTGCACAGTCAACAGGGAAGCAATTGGTCATATTAAAGAGATGCGTTGTTGGAAAATATTGATGTAATAGAATATATATAATAATTGATGAAGTATTTGTGTTATGCCATCGTACTTTACATAAGAAAGTTGGCACTTGCATCTGAGAAATACAGGAAGTGTTTGAAGTTTATGGCACGTGCAGTAAATTTGTTTATTCCCTTCCCCCTGGAAAATCAGCATTAATTAGTGTCCGGGCTTGTTACAGTGTGGCTGGTGCATGAGTAATTTTTTTCCCTCCATATGTAATGCCTCCCTAAGCTTGATATTAATAAGTTTAGTGAGAGTTACCTTGACTAGAGGTAACTTCGAGAACTACTTGCAAATCAATGATGACTTCTAACCCTCCCCCAAGTCTGTGGATAACTCTGCTGTTTTTTGAGATGAGTGGCAGTTTATGTGGGTAGTAGGAACTAATGACATATTCTTTGTCTCTT